AAAAATTTTCAAGCTGTAACAACATGCTCAATAAATTCTTCCATTACTGTAATACCAAAGGAGAGTTGAAAAATGTATTACACTTCTAGTTTTTTCCTTAGAGATATATATTCTTGTTCTGTTTCTATGGCAACATTGATGCAGTAACTAAACCTTTAACTTCTCTCTAGACTACCTGATGGCTTCACACAGCTTCTAAACCTGACCCAGCTCTATCTGAATGACGCCTTTCTGGAATTTCTTCCAGCCAATTTTGGAAGGTAAGAATAAACAATTTAAATGATTTCATTTTATTTCACTTTAGGTAAGTACTTTACCTGAGCCAGTTGGTGAAGCTTTAAAAGTGACCTTTGTGATAAACCTCATTATTATTCAGTAAATGAGACAATATTAACCCATGAAGCATTTTGCAAAAAATGAAGTAAGATTAGGTCATTAATAATCAAATAGCCCAGCCAATGTTGCTCAGTGGTTGGGTGTCAACCCATGAACCAAGAGGTCCCTGGTTCAATTTCTAGTCAGGGCACATGCAGGGTTGTGGGCTCCATCCCTGGTGGGGGGCATACAGGAGGTAGCTGATTGATGATGTCTCTCTCATTGATGTTTCTATCTCTCTATCCTTCTCCCTTTCTCTTTCTATAGAAAAAAAGAAAATATTTTTTAAAGTAATATATATGTATTTCTCTTTTTAAAAAATAATCAAATAAATTGCATGTGCTAAATATTAAAAAATTTAAAAGATATGGAAAAATACACATACATATTTATGGCTCTTGAGTTGGAAAATACCTTTATAGAATAGAAACAAAGGAAAATATAAATGGATACATAGATGTGAGTACATAAAATCAAATAACATCAGAAGATATTTAACAATTAAGGAAAAACAATAAACTGGGAAAATATTTCCACCATTTATGGGAAGCAAATTATATCCTTAACTATAAAGAATTCTTACATATGAGTTTGAAGGCAAAAATTTCATTAGAAAAAAATGGATAAATGACACGTACAAGCGATCCATAATAAAGTACAAATTTCCAATGAAAAATGGTTAGCCTCACAAATAGTAAAAATAATACAAATCAAAATGACAATAAAGTTCCATTGTGATCTAGCATGTTACAGAGGAAAGCTATCCTCATTCTGCTTATGGAATTGTAGAATGATACGAGCTGTGTACAAGATAGTGTGACTTAAAAGGGTTGAAAATATTTACAACCACTGCTTCTGCCATTCACTTCTAGAAATGTATCATATCATCATCAAATATCACCCTAGGATTTATGGACAAGAATATTTATTTACAATATGAATAAAGTGGAAGCACACATCCGTCTAGGTCTAGGAGATGGGATAAATATATTAAGTTGCATCTACATGACAGTCTGTGGAGATTTATAATGTTGTATATGGAAATGTGTTCATAGATCATATGATACGTTATATTTAGGAAAATATTATAACAAAATATATAAACTACGTTCACAATATGAATATAAATAGGCATGAAATAAAAGACTGGTTCCTTAGAAGTAAAATTAAGGAAATTTTTATTTTCATCTCTAGATTTATAATATTTTCCAGGTATTCTGCAATACATCTTTTTTCTCCAATTTTCTTTGAAATAAATTATACACAGCACTATACAAGTTTAAGGTGCACAGCATGATCATTTGACTTACATATCTTGTGAAATGATAACCACAATAAGTTTAGTTAACAATCATAACCTCATGTAATTACAAAAAATGTTCTTTTCCATGAGTTCTTTTTGTGTGTGAGGGGGGTGGGGGGGTTGAAGGGGCAGGGAGAGGAGATTTCTCATATAAATATGATCATTCCATACTTCTCTGTCCAGCCTACTTACCACAGGCTCCATCCATCTTGTCACAAACGGCAGTTTGTCCTTTTTATGGCTGAATAGTATTCCATTATATGTATTTACATTTAATTTATCTATTAGCTATTGACGGAGGCTTAGGTTGTTTTCATGTCTTGGCTATTGCAAATATGAAAAATAGATCTTAAAAGTTAAGACAATTTAAGTTTATTAACTGCGTTTTTCTAAGTGATCATCATTGAATTTTTTTCAGTTCTCTTTTAGCAGTCCTAATATGAGGGAAGAGATTTGGCAAATAGAAAACATAATACCAAAATTTAAACCACTTGGAATTAGATTTTAATTTTGTGTAAATCACATACCAAAATATGATCTATTTTATTATTGTTATCTAAACAGTTTTTGAGCCTTCAGTTGGATAGTTTGTCAAAAGGATGCTTAAAATCCCTTTCAAAACCTGAGATTCGTGTTCCTAAGAGCCAAAATAAGTCACAAAATATCATTACACTAGTACAAATATTGAAAAGATTTGAGACATATAAATGTTTAAGAAATCTTTTCTACTAACAATATATCCATGTGCTGGAGAACTGAATCACTTTATTTCATATAGAGATTAAGAGTTATATGATTAAAATTAAATTAGAAATTTGATAGGAGTCAAAACAAAAGAAATGGGAAGAGACCTTGATGAATATACAAAAGCACAGTAAATATGGACAATTGTAGGTGAAATCATTCAAATAATGAATTATTCCCCAAACACTAAAAATTCATAAAATTCATTTAATGTTGCTCTAAAGAATCCTCAACTGAGTACATTTTAAAACTCAGTTATAGACATTAGTGACAAAAGTGCCCCAGGCTGCTACCTTAACAAGTACTTAGGTGTGAAATGCATTCCTAATCACGTGTTACACAGCAACAGAAACTGTGAGCATCTTTTACCTCCTCCAGGATTTCCCCAACCCCCGTACTGTCACAGGACAGATGATGCTATAGATTTTTCATGTACATCCACTTCCAGAATGCTAAGATGCTCATCTTAGAGTCAATGAAATATGGTATATTAATTAGATTGCTTTTTCCACTATCCAATTATTGATAATAGTAATATCTAACACATAGTAAAACTTGCAATGTGCAAGGCATTAGGCTTTACCTGTGTCACATTATTTAAGATTCAAAACTCTATACGTTATGGTACTGTTATCACAAACTCATTACAGAGGAGGAAGCTTAAGTTAGACGGGGTTAATTTGCCCAGAGCCACAAGGGTAGAATATCAGAGTCTGGATTTCATCCAGATCCGTCTGAACATAAAATTCAAGCTCTTGCCCTAACCGGTTTGGCTCAGTGGATAGAGCGTTGGCCTGTGGACTGAAGGGTCCCAGGTTCGATTCCAGTCAAGGGCGTGTACCTTGGTTGTGGGCATATTCCCAGTAGGGAGTGTGCAGGAGGCAGCTGATCAATGTTTCTCTCTCATCGATGTTTATAACTCTCTATCCCTTTCCCTTCCTCTCTGTAAAAAATCAAAAAATATATATTAAAAACAAACAAAGAAAAACTCAAGTTCTTAACCACTATGCAATTTTTTTTTGCTTTACAAGTTAATGTATAATCTTTTGAGGGAAAGTATTGCCATGTTCCAGTGAACATAGCATTTGGAATTTAGTAGATAGTCAATAGTCTATTGAACATATAAAATTAAACAGTGAATATATTTTTATAAAACATGAAATGTAGAAGTGCTATCTTTGAAAGATATTTATTTCCTAGAAATTTTGATTTTACAAATTACTTGTCAAATTTGCTTTTGACAAATAATATTCATTATTGTCTAATGTTGATATGACCCTATTCATAATCAATTTGTATAATTCTTTAAAATCTGCAATGAAGGTATATAATGTTGAACATAGTTGTTTTGATAATATACATAGTGATTATTGACTGTACCATAGTAACATTGTGTTATAGAAAAAAATGAGGCAATTTTTAAATTTATTTTTCTATAGACTTGTCAAATTACGGATCTTGGAGTTAAGAGAAAATCACCTGAAAACTCTACCAAAGTAAGTGACAGTGTATTTTCTAAATTTCGAATTGTGAATTTTTTCACTAGTATTTAAAAAGTGACTATTTTTATTTTGGCTATGCTTTGCCATTTTGATTGAGTGAATTTTTCTATATTTTTTCCTGGAGACTGAAAAGTATCATATATTTTAAGAGTTATGCATTCAAAAAGTAAGAATGAATCCTGCCTTATAAAATCATATAATTACAAGGTGGGGAGAGTCCATTTATGGTTCATATTATAGTTAAACTAACACATCAGGAATGTTAGTCTGTCAATTTCATTGAAACTTATGAAATTGTTATTTTTAAGCAGAGAAACAATCAAGAGTTTCAAAAAGGTTCAACCCAATATGATGCTGAATGTTTCAAGTTAATTTATGGATTGTGATAGTTTTCAGTTTTTAAATCAAGACTATGCAAAAATATTACATAAAAAAGATTTTTTTTTTCCTAGAGATCCTAAAATGGTTTGGAGAAAATTTATATTTATACAGTCTTTCAAACTGTGTCTTTTTACTAGTTTATTTAAATTTTGGTTTATATAAAAACACAAGATATTTTATGTAAAACAAATAACTAAAATGTTATGCAATGTTTACTTTAATAAAATGCTTTGCTTTACCCTGCCTTGACCTATTCCTGTCTAATAATAGAATTTTGTGTTGTACAGAAAAAAAAATGTTTTTGAAAAACAAAAATTATTCAAAATATAGTTTTTACTCAAATAAATTAATATGATATGTGTATGTTACAACTAACTTATTGAAAGTACCATGGCTATTATTACCTTCCTGTAGTATTGCAGAAAAAGATTGAGTACAGTGTTTCATTCTTCAAAAATCAGCAAGACTTAGAGACCTTTTCTCTGCTAACAATTGTATTTTTTACTTTCTAAAATCTTTCCCCTAAGCAAATAGTACTGAATTCCATTGATTTTTTTTAACCAATATTTCAATAAGATACCTTTAAGTACATTTTATGTATGCTATAATGTATAAAAAATTTTGTCAATTCAAGACTTTCAATAATAATATTGATTTCATTTAAATATATACATAGAGATAAAACATCTATTCATTCCTCCATAAATGGAAGACAAGGAGAGAACATGAAAAGGAGGAAATATCCCTATATCTAGATACCCCGAACTTTTGAGTAGCCTTTCTCTAAGCTAAAGCATTAGGCATAAGTCTAATGAGAGGCATCTCTTCCAGGTTGGAGACATAAACAGAGGGGGAGAATGATAGAGAGTGTTACTGGTTCAGCATCAATCTCCTGTAAATGCAGTTGGTGCCACTATTTCCATGCCAAGGGTTTTATTGTTACATTTAAAGTAGAATGGAAACATGGCTAAGCAAAAACTGACCCACGGGAAATAGCATTGTCCCCTTCATCTAATATATATGTTTAGATCAAGTCTCCTTGAACATACTGAGTGTATAGAGGAGAATCCTTTCCTCTGGTCTCAAATAATGGTTTTGATGTGAAACAAAACAAATCTAATATAAGATGTCAGGTTTTTAAGTATATTTTTAACATATAAATTTTAAATATAAATTAAAGCCTGACCTTAGATTGCATTTATGGACTTTATAAGAGATAGCTGTGAAAACAGTTCAGAGTCATGGGTAACAATGCTCAGAATTGGTGCATAGGTATTGTCTAGGCTTTGAGACTATGGTCCAGTGTCAAACAATTAAAATAAGTAGAGTAATATGCATTCAACTATGTTTGGCCTAAAAACCATTGTAAAGATGTATAGAAGTAACACCGGGTCGCTATGGTAGACAGATATGCATGTATGACTTGTATAGATGTTACAGTTTTTACATTTAAAAACATGTTCAAGTCATTTTCAATCGTGTGTGTTCATTTTTTACCTTATAGACAAAAATACAAAGAATCAAAATATGCCTAAAATAGGAGAACTGTATCTTAGTTTTTAGTGTCTATAAAATGAGAATTGAAGACAGAAGTTCTGTCTTAAATAAAAATAAACTGTTTTCACTATGTATTATACCCCGGTCTAGACCTGTAACTGAGATATGTGAGAGCTTTCTACTCTTCTTACTTCATACCTCCAATGAAAATAAAGAAAGAAATTTAGTTTTAGGAAACCAATTTAGTTTTATAATAATTCCTCCAAGAAGAGATAGTGCATAATTTTCTCAAGGAAACAAAGAAGATGCCAAGTCTGCAGTGGGTTCTTAGTGATTCCTCTTCTTTTTATCTTCTGTCTTAAAAATCTATATGTCTGACAATCTGTGCCAAAGGTAAAAATGTGTAAGAATTATGATATGCCATCCATTCAAATGCATATCCCTTACATAAACTGGTAGAGACATTCTGATATGTGCAGATTCTAGAACAATTCTTTCAGCTATTACCTAGAAGTCAGTATCATAATTTTTACACTGTTTTGTGATCATTCCTTTAGATATCAATGAGTGAGGAAATTAAATTTCTCAGATACACATTTCCTAAAAAATAATTGAAACAGTCGGTCTTGATTATGAGTAATAATTGAGGATGTTGAACAACTGAAGAAACTAGATAACCAAAAAGAAAAATCTTTAGATTTCAAGATACAACTTTTCCTCATAGCAGATTTATTCTCCAAATTATGGTTTTTAAAGGCAAGGCAGAAATGAGTTAGTTCTCATTTTGACAATTTTTCACTAGCGATTTCTCTATCTGGAATCCTCTTACCACAAGTCATTGCATGGCTAGATCTTCCTTATTCTTTACACTTTCCTCCGGTGTCGCCCTCAGAGCTTTCCCTGGTCACATCATATAACATTGTCACCTCCTAGCCTTCGCACTGTCTCACTCTTACCTTTGACTTTCTCCATGGCATTTAAGGTTCTCTGAATTATTTCAACTCTGTTTACTTGGAGATGATATTCTCAGGAGAACCAAAGTTCCATTAAGAAGAGGGTTTTATTTTTATGTCACTGCTGAATCTCAGAACCTAAAGCAGTGCCTGGCACACAGTGAGCACTCAATACATGAACAAGAATACTGACATAGTGATTCAAATAAAGAAATACCTGTCATGTGACCTGGAAAATGTATAAGTTGGTTTTTCACCATAGAAAATAATATAGGATAATAAATATTATAATTAGATGGGTCTTTGGTGAGCACTAGACAGAAGAGGACAAAGATAAATGATTGAGGGGATGAGGGCTTCTCAAAAGCTGATAGCTGAGCCTTAAATTTTAAACTTACTCTCTCTCTCTCTCTCTCTCTCTCTCTCTTTCACACACACACACACACACACACACACACATATTCTCTCTCTCAGTTTGTTTCAAGTTAAACATTATATAGCTAAGGAATGACAAGAGAGGAGACTAATTTCAAATTAATAGAATTAATACTTATAACAACTAAAAATATCTAAAAATAGTATATCTTATTTCTTTTCTCTTGTCATTAAAATGTGATACATTTAATCAAGAAACAGAATATATGTCAAGATAACAAGGAAAGGATAAGATCATTTTTTTAAATTAAAATTAGGAACCATTTCTATGGAAGTAACATATCAGCATATAAATTGTTAGTTATAATTGCAGGTTTTACCCTTAAATAAAAGTTTTTTAATATTCATGAGAAGAGTTTTTCTAATACCTTAGTTAAAATTTGGGCTGTCCATCATGGCTAAGACTAACCGGGGCTAAAATATGATTTGATGTAACTGTGTCTATAATAATTTTCAAAATATGAAGTAATGTGAAGAAAAGTAAACACAGATTAAGCTAATATTTGTCCTTCTGTATTTGTCCTTCTGAGTGTACAAGGCTTAAGAAGTGTGATTCCTCAATCTGCTGTCCTAAGACACTGACTGAGAGGAATATTTCAGACACATTCCAGCAGAATTACCGGGGCAATATCAGGCGATAGAGTAAAAACCCTGATGAACAAATCCTAAGGGGAAAACTAGATGGATTTGGTGGATAAGGAACTCTTAAAAATTGTTGGAAGAAGGAATTTAGAGTGTAGGTTATAAATATGAAGTAGTAACAACTTTCTTGGAGGGATCACGAACCCTTCCAAGAAGCTAAAAAGAGTAGTGGAATCTAGAAAAGCATTATTTCTAAAATTCCAGCTGTATCTATTTCTGATGTTTTTGTGGCCCACTGTGAGGTTTCACAAAAAGTAGATTATTTGGCATTTTATGTAAAGTAAGCCACATCAGAATACATAGTATACTATGAAAGAGCACCAAAAATAGGAAGGACGCTGTCAGTTTTAAAGTACCAAAATTTATCTTGTATAATTTTAATTATATAAATGTTGGTTCAAAAGAGAATGTTTTATTGAGCAAAATTTCATTTGGTTCATTTCACTATCATCTATGAAATTTTTTGAACTCTCCATAGAAAACATTATTAAGGAATAATTTAAAGAAAACATTTCCCAAGTACACGCATGAATAATACTCTAAAACTACTAAGCTATAAGTGCTTGAAAACTAGTAAATAGTGTATCCATTATACATGATTTTATTTCTTAGGCGCCATTGTTTTTATTTAGTGATTTCCCCCCTGGCAACAAAGGTTCAGAAACTCTACAGTATTTCTCTTCTCTGAGTGCCTATGGACCCACACACATATTCACAGGTGTCAAAACGTTACACCTAATCTAGCCGTACTCTAAGAGAAAAGATCCCCTTGAATTATAAATATAAATCAAAACCAGAGCTACAGTAAAACACTACCAATGAAAGACATTAGATCATGAAAGTCAAGAAATTCATAATAGTTAAGAACTATTTCAGATTGAAGAAGACTAGAGACATACTAACTAAAAAGAGTTATCTGAATTGTTTATTTTTCTAAAAAAATTATGGCAATACTTCCATGGGATCTGAGGACTGAATGATAGTCATGTATCAGTGCTGATTTCCTAATTTGGGTGGCTGCATTTTGGTTTGGTAGGAGGATGTTCTAGTTTCTAGCAAATACACACTACTATTTGGGGATGATGG